TTCCATAAAAGGCCATCGCCGAGGCGGATTAAGTTCTGGACTGCCGTCTTTGTCCTCATGTTTGGCGGATAAATTGCGCGATTCAAAGAAGCTAAGCTCGTCTGACCGGTCGGTACCGTTAAACCGTAGCTCGCCAACGGGAAACATCTGTACTCTCACTTTTATTATTCTTTCGCCGATCTAATTCGAGAACAAAGAAGTTACGGCTCATGCTACTGTGTATGTTTCACATTCATGGCTGTATTTAACTACCGCTAAATATAGAATTACCGGGCCGTTTTAAGCACGCCTTCCCATGCCGGCCCACACCCACTGAGCCCCGTAGCGTCACTGCTTCCCCGGCCGACACCAGCGCGACGCTCTCACAGCACCACAAGCGCCGCCGTGTCCCCGAATCCATTCATCAGAGCGCTCCGTTGTCCCATCGCCGGCCCCGCGATCAGTGTTCGCTCAAACAGCCCGGCAGCAGCAGCGGCAGCGGCGGTGGAGGTTCCCCCTGCAGTGACGTCATCCGGCGCGTGGGAGGCCGACGGGCGAGGCGCGTCATCAGACGCTGCACTATCAAATCAATTAGCTGGCAATCGGACCGTCGGCGATCGCTCCCCGCCCCGCCGCTCGGCCGGCCGACGGGCGCGGGGCTCGACCAGCGATGGCAAAATTAATATCCGGCCGATTAGCGGCGGCCAATTGACCGTGCTTCGTGTCTCGATATTAATTAGGCGGCCGATCTGTGGCGACGAGTTAATGAGCAGACGAGGGCGGCGGCCACACGCGCCGAGAGTGGCGTGCGCCCGGCGCGATTGAAACGCCAGAGTGGCGCAGCCGAGTTGGTGGGATTCCTATGTGTTTTAAGGCAATTAGCTGAAAAGCCCGTGTCACTGGGGAGAAAACACTGCGCCGAAACTTTGATTGCGCTGCGCGTGTGCTATCATTAAGTTAATGGCGTATTTGTGCGCGCCCCGGGGCGGAGAATAGGAAGCCATTGGCCGCCGCTGAAGAGACGGTCGCGGCGCGCTCCTCGCGCTGAGGCCAGCACGCCACCACCCGGACCCGCCGTCGCCTTTGACCGGAGAACTTATTCCGCGGCCGTCCGCGATGGGCTGCGCGCCTGTCCGATGCAATCACAGACAATTGGCCACCTGATTGACGCAGCTGCAAAATTGAATGGCTCTCTCGCTTTCCTTTCACAGTAATGGCATTGCAAATGAGCTGGCTGTGTGCATCGCAGGCATTAGTATAAGTAGTGTCTGCTTAGTAACGGCCCACGGTAATGAAACAGCCCACTGGGATCGAGCCAATGGCATTTGACCTCTGGTCAGCGTTCGATGATGAGCCACCACGGCTGGCTCACGTGTATGAGGGCCGTGCGGCCGGCGCGGCGGCCCCGCCCGGCCGTGGCGACCGCCGAACAAGTGCCGGCATAATTTATCGGCCGATTAGCGCCGAGACGCCATCACGAGCGGTGCTAACCCCGCGGACTGTGATCATGTTGGGGTCGCACCCACATGTCACGGCGAGCGGGGGCGGGGACGGTAGGAGCGGCGAGGTCAGGGCTAGGTTAGGAACCCGTCTGTGGGTGCTGTCCGAAAGTAAAAGTGCTACCAGAGCTTTGTCGCAGCAAAATTAGTTCTTTACTTCTATAGTCGTATTAGCTCAGCATTAAATGTTAGCTGGGTGATAATTGGGCCTCTTTCGAGCTGCGGACACTGATATGCACACTTTGATGCGGACACTGATATGCACACTTTGAACACTCTGCACAACAACGACGGGCGTGAACTCCTCGGCTACACTGTCCTCAAGAGTCGGTTTGGAGTTTACGGCTTCTCCTGCCTCACCATATATCTTTAGGTACTGGGTGGTCCTGTTCTTACCCTTTGAAAAATATAACCTCCACGTCTGTCCATCACGTCTTCAAGGGGCCATTAGAACTTTTGTTCTTTTCAGAAATATGCGGCCATAAAGCCATCCCACGTCTTCAAAGTTCCGCGCCCCTCGCTTAGAGGTCCCGTTCTTGGCGGACCGTCCTCGGTCCCTATTCCTATCCCTCTGTACTTGCCCTCCATATTGGCGCCGCATACCTGACGTCTAACGATACTGACATCGATATAACTTAAATGCATTTCCATGTTGTCCTCAGCCACCTGTGTAGATATCAAACCTCCTAAAACGTCTTTCAGCTGGTAATATCCGCGTCGTGCCGCCAACTTCACCTCTGCTCTTTTGTCTGCTCAGTATTGTGCTCACTTATGCATCACATCGGTTAATCGTCAGGCTCATGATTCTTCTCTGTCTCAGGTTGGAATGACACAAACCACAGAACAAAGCTGACGATGGCAGCAGATTCACACCTCACGACTTTCAAAGCACATGTCTACCACTCACGAAAAACAGAGTGCATTGAGTCCGTTCCGCCTCAGGAGTCATCCAATCCTCACACCCATCATCTCTCTGCCTAAAAACACGAGAATCATGGCTGGAGTTCCTGGTGCAAGGCACACAGTTCTCTGCAGCTCATGTCCTATGTTTGACGGAGATGAACTCAGTCACACAAAGACTCCCATCTAGCGGGACGCCGAGTACAGCTCGCGAAGCCCTCGGGGTGGAGCTCCCACAGCTGTGTCGGCTCCTGGAGACACACCAGCGGGACAGAGGCGGGCAGCTCGGCAGAGACGGTGCTGAGGCAGACACGTGATTCAGACGTTTGTCCAAGGTCGGCCGGCCCATTAGGGCTGCTCTCCGACCATCTCTGGCAGCGGCGGCAGCAGCAGCAGCAGCCTGCATGGCGGCGCCGGCGCGGCTGCTGCTGCAACTCCTCCGCCGGCGGCACAGACAAGGCCGATCGGTCCGGCACAGTCAGCTGAACTCACTTCTGGTCACTCCAGCTGAGGTCTCAGCTCAGTGCGCCGGTCGCTGGGTGCGCAAGCAGCCAACGCTGACCTCTGTCGAGTCTGCCAACGCGCCCGTCCGACCGGCGAGCCGACACGCAACCCGACGCGTAGCTGGTCCGCTCCAGCGGCTGCCATGGAGCCTGCAAGGTGCACAGTTTGCAGGCCCCATGCCCGGTCTATTACGCCGTCTATCTGGCGGGTTGCCACGCATGCGTGTCTAACGACGTCCATTGTGCTGTGCGCCACCCGCAGTGGACGTGACTGACTCTGTCGGCGACATAAACTTTTGAAAATGCTATATGTGATCATCTATATACCTAATACCTATCTAACGAATAGTGCTTGTCTATTTCAAACAACCTGCGGTTATTTACAGGTATCCAAATTAACTTCCCAATGTAACACAATGCGTGAAGGTTTAGCACCTCGTGTTTGAAACGTTCGTCTTAGATGAGAAGTGAACACGTGAGCACTCACAGAAATAGCGATCGACTGCTGGAAGCAACCACAGCTGACCGACTTCTCACTGTTACCTCTGAAGTTAGCCAGCGCCCAGTATAGTGTGAAAATTCCCGACCATGATAGTTCAGAAATCAATACTTCCCTTTAATATCAATCAGTCAGTGTTGCCCACAATAACTTAAGTTTCTAGTCTGGATACCGTGACCTGGTGAGACTGTTTCCACAACGGGCTGAAATACCTATTGTAGATGACTAAAAGCGTTTTAATGGCTATCATAATCTGTAGTGTGATAGATAAACGTTAAACGATGCATCTGGGCATAAGTAGCATAAGGCGATCTATTTCTTGAATTTATCGTCTACTGAAATGCCATTTTAGTTCATGGTCAATTATTGTCTGTAATTGATTCAAACGATTCCCGTTTCATCAATTATGAAGTTCCCTTTATCCAAAAAGCCATACTCTTCCGTATTTGTAAGTAATGTAACGAATTAGATGTATCATCCTTTGTGAGTAACTTCTCCCGCCCGTATTTCCCTCGCCCTGCAACCCTCTCCACTCTCAATTCCCCTTTCCTCCCTCCCCCCGGCTTCCCGCGGCCCTTCTTCATCCCATCTCACTATTTACAGCTCACTCCCGTATTAAATGCGTCCCGCACATCTCTCATCGCTCTGCCCGCCGCTCCCGTCGCCCGCCGCTCTGCCTCCACATCTCGTCGGTCTCCCTTCTCCCTCCAGCGGCCCATGAGTCCACCGTAATAACCGTTCCCAGGCGACATAAGAACCTGTGCGATGATGATATTGCAACGATTCTCATTTGGTAATGGACCCGTAATTGCGTCAATTTATCTTCCATTAGTTTATTAAAGTGTCTCGGATCCGCACATGGCGGTTTCAGCGGCCGCCGCGCCGGCGGCCCACCTGGCTGGCTGACGGGGGATGGGACGGACGGCGCGGCGCCGGGCGGCGGCGGCTCCCTCACCGCTCGGATTCGCTCTCTGCTGGTCCGATACGGCCGGCCCGGGCTGATCACCGTGGCTCTATCCGGGCACCGTTCCTCTTTTTCCATTCGAATGTGGGGCAGCTGTGTGCTGCCGTGGCCAGCGAACCGTGAGCAGGCCGGCCCGGCCCAGTCTGAATGAAACGGACGCGCAGGGGCGGGGCCGGTCGAGGCCTCTTCGATGGCACACAGATTGTGACCGGCTTTGAAACCGCGCTTATTGATGTGCGAAAGAGGGCCGCAGAATCGTGGGAAGATGTCGCACTAAATGAGTGTGGTATATGACGTGCGATTTTGGCCGACATCTCGTACACGCTGAATCATCGTAAATATGCGAAACCTGCCGGGCGCTGGCATGACGGCGTTACTGCCAGTTCATTACTCTGACCGCCCAATGAACAATTTTGCGAATGACTGCATAAAATTAAACATGTTTTCAGCATGCATCGGCTGCCACCACCATGCCACGAATTTTCCAGAAGCACGCGAGGGTAACTACGTGAAATTATTAACTAGCGCGTTCACACCTGGCTCGATGTTCACATTGCGGTCAGCAGCTGGACGGCCGGTTCCCGCCCACGGAGCGGGGCTGCGTGCTGTAATTCCGGCCCACTCTGCAGTCAGCTGACTCCCTCCTCTGTCCACAGGTGCTCCGGCCAGCGCTCCGACGGGCCCTCTCGACGCTCCCATCATGAACTCGGTGTACCCACACAACCACTTCTACAGCGGCGCCTGCGGTGGTCCGGGCGGCGGCGGTCCGGCCGGCGGCGGGCCCGGCGGGCCGGCCGGCTACCCCGGCGGGCCGCGGCCCCCCTCCGGACCCCAGAGCCCCCACCTGGGGCCCGGCAAAATGGCGCCCCTGGGCGGCATGAACATGAACCAGGCGAACATGATGAACAGTCGGCTGGGCGGCCCAATGGGCGGGAGCGGCGGGGGCGGCGGCGGCGGCGGCACGGACGACGGCGAGCCCAAGGTGTGCGGCGGCTGCGGCGGCCGGATCGTCGAGAAGACCATGCTGCACTCGATGGAGCGCTACTGGCACGAGGCGTGCCTGCGCTGCAGCTGCTGCGGCGTTAACCTGGCCGACAGCGCCTCCTGCTTCAAAAAGGCCGACATGATACTCTGCAAGCCCGACTACGTCAGGTGGGTCACCGATGGGGACTGGTGGGATGCCAAGGGAGGACGGGTCACGGGAAACACAGCAGAGAGAAGTGCAGCGCTAAGCATGAAGTCATATCCATCGCCGATCCTATTCAATGCGTGCATTTCTTCCTCGACCGCACACCACACAATCGACGTCACTTGCCTAATCCCTCTTCGTATTTACCATCTCTCTGTTTCCCCGCTGCTCCTGAGGGGGGGGGGGGGGCGGTAACCAACAGCACACACGGCCAACATATAGCACTGCCGATGGCAGCCGACATTTCGCCCGGCCGATAATCCGGTTTGCCTTTTAATGTCCCGCGGGTGTTCCGAGTGGGCCGGCGACATTAGGCCAATTACGGAAATCGCCCGGGATCGTCGCTCGAACACGGCCGAGACCGGCAATTTCCGGCGAATTTGCCGCCAAAATAATGGCGCTGGCTGATCGGCAGCGGCGTTGAGCGGTGAATGCCACTGCGGTCCAGGGGTAGACAGAGTCGCTGCGATCCGCGAACAGAGGCAGACTTAGTGTCGGTCGCTTTAGTCCGGCTACAGTGGCAGACTCAGTGCCGGTGCCAACGGAGCACAGAAACGATCGGTCGGTCGTTAGTCTGTTGTTGGTCACCGAGAACGTGCAGACGCAGCCCAGATGGGTAGCGGATCAGGATATTGTAGGCAACGTGTTCAAGGATCGAGAGGTGCGGTAAGTGAGAAACACATCACACGGTAGCCTTTACGATGATTTTGCGATGATTAAAGCGAGAAATACTTCCGCTTGTAAAAGCTGGCTTATGTATAGGCATTTTACTAGCTCATAGCTGGACTATAACATGCCTTGGAAGTGTAATATGGAAGATGGCTTTATCACAATCCAGGCTCCGACTCTGTTAGCGAAAAGGGAATATGCATTATGCGTACAGCCGTCTGTTCCAGTGAAATTGGTGATTCGTGTGCATGGGCGGCGCCACCGGGGGGGACGGGGGGGACAGGTCCCCCGCTATCGAAAGTTAGGGGGGTACAGTACCCCCCTATCGGCGAGGCCCGTTCAATAGTTGATAATAATGCATTATAGAGCTATCCGTCGCATTTAATGCATCGTTGGTTAATCAAGGCAGGTTCTGAATAAATATTGCTGTTGGGATGCATCGCAGGGGGTCCTGGCCATCTGCAAAAGGTGTGGAGCTGTGATGCCTGTAGTTATAAGGTGATCGGCAGGGCCTCGGGGATCGTGCCCCCTTTTTGGGGCGCCAGGCAGGGTTATTACTTATTACCTCCCCACCCCACTGCCAGACCCCATTGCCGATAAAACCAAGTTCACTGAAATTCCATAGATTTCCGTTACTATATGAAAATTTTCCATTCCTAATTAGTCAAATTCAAGCATGGCAGTTCTACCACAGGAACCATTTGAAATCTATGCCATTTAACCCCAGCACTTGTGGGGAGAAGTGTTCGGATAGATCACAGGCAGGACCAAAAAAGCACGCAGTAGCCCAAGACCTTATAATTGGATATAGCATCGGCTCCCTCTCGTCAAGGGGTTCGATAGCACTCGTTTTTTTTCTGCAAAACTAAGTTCGGTCGGCGGCCGAACGGCTGGGGGTCTAATCGAGCCCCCCATCCCTCCTCTTCTTACGTCAGCGGCTGTGAAAATGCCATTACCAGCTGTTGAAACATGGCAGTTGCTTTTGCATGAGTGCACGAAAGGGTTTTAGGTACGTGATACGTGAAAGGTTCTACATGAAAATTGAGATACACCAGCTTATCAAATTGTGCTCACTGTGGTGCGCTCGGCTTTACCTTGACTAGTCTTTGAATTCTGGGGTGAAACAGACCAGTCAAGAAACCTGTTCCATAAGGAGAGCCACTAATGCTAAAGGGATGTGGGATGATGTTTCCAGAGACCTTCATTACCTCCCAAAGGGAGTGCCCCGCCATTTGCCAATCCCTGCTGTAGTTGTTACGATTGGAGGGTGAATATGAGAACGATGCAGGTCGCGCCAGCTCGATCATGACGAACACAATGGTGCCGACATCACAGCTCTACTGCCATTTTTGACGAAGTTAATCAACAAGCACCGGAATCCTACCCTGGGGCATTTCACCTGCAGAGGTCGCCGGACCTGAGACCCTTTCACTCATTTTTTTCAACGGTGCATGCGCTCGTTTTTCCCGCAAAGCTCTTGGCAAGTAAAATCAATCAGAAAGTGTGATCAAATAACGGCTGGTGACCTTCCATGACCTAGCATGGCCTTTTGAGTGACCACCGATGACATGACCACTGACGGCTAGCCATTAGCTGCACCCTGCCCGTTGCATATGGATCAGGTGGTGATGTCATGATTCTGAAATTATATTGCAATTTTGGCGCACTTGTCAGAGCAGAAGACATTCCCACTTTTCCTCCATGACTATATGATGGTGAAGCCCTGAAGCTGACCAGACGTAAGATCGAAAATTTGAAAGTACGAAACGTAAGAGTAGCTGGCACTGCTACTCATACCTAAGCAATTCGCAGCTTGTAGGAAACCAGCTTTGAGTTGGCAAGACTGCAAATTTTAATTTAGAGGCAAGGATGCTTGAAAAGGTGATCGATCTTAGGTGTCCTAGGATAAGTTTGGAAACGGGATGCACTATTCGATGTGTTTTGGGCCTTGCCAAGTTTCGCGGCGTTACGTGCCTCGTTTTTTTTTTGCATACACGATCAGTATCTACTTTTGGGATTTTCGATTTTCGGTCCCCGTCCCCCCCTATCGAAAACCCGTGGCGCCGCCCCTGTTCGTGTGCTTATCAGGCTCTAAATCTAACATGGACCACAAATGGATGCATGGACCACAAATGTGATTTCCGGGAAACGGCATGCATGTCCTTAAGGACATTCCCATCTAAAGAGACTACATAATTCCATACAGCATGAGCGTATAGAAGTATGGCTAAATGGTGTACAAATCTTCTAGGCTCCTTTTCAGAGAAGCATTACTTCCGAATCCAGCCCAACCCTGCGGGTTTGCACACAGTACCTTGGATCGCCGTGACCGTTCACATGTCTTCTGCTTACGATCCCCGTTCTGTCCCCACTCCCCCATATGCGAGACATGGCGAGTCCGGCCGAATAAAACCACTGCCGTGTTGTATGGGCAAATTTATCGCCCTCGTCTTGGTTGCAGCGCCGCGTAAATCGCGCTAATAGCCGTTCAAGGATTGTAAATGCCGCGCTCATTCTGTTTGCTGGGCCCGGCACCGTCTCGCGGCCGACCGAGGAAGCCGGAGGGAGGTGACTCGAAGTCCACCGCTGCTCAGCACGTGCTCGTTTGGCGCACCTGGCCGGCCCGGAAATCTCGGCAGGGCCCGCAGCGGTGTGGGTGCGTATTGGCATGTGCCAGGGCGATTCGGCACGAGACGTTGCGTGGCCCCGAGCTGTAACGGCTGCGCTGCCCGCCGGCGACGGTCATAGCCGGCGCAATACTGAGCTAAGCGAGCTCAGATAACCGGGAAATGCAGAGCTGTACCGCAACATTAGCAGCTGTGGGGAGTTCAACGTGGAACTGGTTGGTGCGTGAAATAGACGGGCGGTCTCCCGAAGTGGAGCATTGCAGCGTCTCCAACCACTTCTGAACTCGCCGAGTGAGGACTGTTCGGCGGACCATTTCTGTAGTGCCCTGATGACGTCACTGAGGGTATAATTCTGCTGACGGTAGGCGTTAGGAGGCCGGCGACCGCGTGCGCGAGGCTATATCGGTAACAATAATGGGCCCTCCAGGCGCCAGGCCGGTCCACTCTCGGGGTTGACGACCGCGCCGAAACGCTCACCACTTTTACTCGTGTGGGTTTCGGAAAAAAAGTTCCAACAATGTCGTGATTGATTTGCCAGTCAAGAACGGAACAGGTGCGGTAATCTTCCTGATAAATTTTAGCTGGTAGCTAAGTAAAATGAATTTTAAGGTTTTTTTTAGTAAGTAGCCTGCTGGTGCGCGACACTTACATAGGGCATACGAAAAAAACTATTTTGACTGTGTTGCCCGTGTTATCCGCCGGCGCATGTGCAGGTATATCTGTGTGTCTCTGTGTTTGGCAGCGTTCGGGCTACGTGTTGATACAATATCAGAGGTCATAGCTGGTCTCATCAGGAGCTGGTTAGTGTGAGGGCCACCTGTCGGACAACACTAGAGGCGAAAAATGACAATATAATTAGCATGATTACCTTCACAGATGTAGTGCTGCATCACCGTTATAAGTAGGTACAGATAAAATTAGGGAGCATTTTAGGCCTCGAGAAGATGCAACTTTTCCATTTTAGCGATACGTCCTGTTAAAAAAAAAAATCCTAAAAGCCAGCGATGAAAGAATCCTGTTAATGATGATAAGCTGGGCTGTTCTGCAGATTAGGTGAGCTCCACTAAGTCCAAAGCTCAATCAAGCGTCATTGGAGCGGGGCAATTTGCCACAGGTGTGCGCCTATCGGTAGCCGGAGCGGCCATTGTTGTGGTTTGTGGACGGTGGACCCCGCAGGTGACAGCGCAGTGCCCAGCTGAAGAGAAATGAGGAAAGCCAGCCTAGTGAGCTTGGCTCGGTGGGCTGTCTTAACGGTATTGGTTGACAGTTGTGGAGTTGAAACGCTTTGAAGGTAATTGGCGTTGCATATTCTGGCAATAACTTAATAGAAATGCGCTTGCTTCATCGGCATCTTAACGGAGACGTTCAAGATAAAACGTAGGTACTTGGAGAACTTGAAGTGATTACCTACTCATAGCTTCGGTTAGTGGAATTTACTTCTTTGCTTTGCTACAGTCAACCCCAGACCTGGGCCGTCTCGGCCGTCACGTTTAGCCTCATTTCCAATAAAGCCCTCAGCCGTATTTCGGCCTTTCCTAGTACTTCGGGGCCTGACACGATACAGTGACAGCTATTCACAATCCCTCTCACAGTTTTCCATTTCCCACAGTCACAATCACAGTCTCCTCAGTAAAGTATCCGCTGTCACATCCAGTCTCCACAGTCCC